GTTGCCTTCCCATCCTTGGGGTGTGGGGCAGCCGTGTGTGTTGGTGCAATTCAGGGGAGTGGAGACCATCTGAGCTGCCCCAGCAGCATCTTGGGGCTCATCCTGCAGGACCACCTCTGCGGACATGTGGAGCTGTACAAGGTCAGGCTCAGGACCATGCGGGTATCCATCAGCCAGCCCGGGCATCCTGGCGAGGCTGTGCCCAGGTCCCCTGTCCCTGAGGGCTCATTCCACCCAAGATACGGGCACATCTTGAAGGGAGGGATGCTGAGGGCGATGCTGGGGGCAAGGCAGATGAGGGTCCCCCATGCTCACCTCACTGGCAGCCCCAGGTCCCAGCAGGCTGGCTGAGCCCTGGCACAGGGTGTGTTGGCAGTGGCTCGCCATGAGTGACCACATGGCCCCTGCCATGCAGAGCCAGGCGGCTGGTATGTCCCCGTCTGCTGCTGACCCTCACGCTGGCCTGATTGGATCTTCCCTCTGCACCAGCTGTATTTATTTTCGGGCCGTGGCTGCTGCCGACTGTCCTCCCTCCCCTGCCTGTCCCCTCCCCGGGCTCCCCCCGGGGTTTAATGTACTCCCTGCAAGGTGCCGCGGTGCAGCGTAACCCAAGACCCCCCCGACTCCGCACACGGATCGACCCTGGGCTGCAGACACCTCTCCTCCTCCCGTCTGTCCTCAGGCTGGGCTTTTTCCAATGTTGGTGTTTGTTGGGTTTTTTTTCTTTTTTTTTTTTTTTTTTCTTTTTAGCTCAAATGGATTTCATCCCATTTGCCCAGAATTAAGCTCCTGCAGATTTTAATTTGCTGACATTTTCTTCATCCGTTTGGTTGTGGATAGCAGGGATAAACGCACGTGCTGCACCGGTTCCTCCCCGCTCCCGTCCCCTGCCCATATGGCTGGTGTGTGTAGTAAAGTGCACAACTCTAGTTCTGCTCAAGAATGATGAAATACGGCAGTGAGGGGGAAAGATGAGCTGCCTCGGGTGAGTAACGAACGGACCTTTCCGGGGAGCCGAGGGGGTTGGGAGGGGAATGGGTTTAAACAGCTTAATTCTTGAATCTAGCAACCCCTGGCACCACAAAAATGAGATGTGCTAGAAGTTAATTAACTCTTAGCGTCCGTATCGCATCGCGGCTGCTCTTGTCAGGGACTCCGCAGGTATCGCAGCTCTGCCGGGGAAAGGGAAATCTCTTATTTTGTGTCACTCCATCACCTGCAAACGCCAAAGCCTGGGTCTCGTCCCGGGGGAGCCACGGGGTTTAACTCCTCTGCTCCCCGTGGCTGTGCTGAGTGCCTGGGGGGGCTGTACACACCTCGCACCGGCGTGGGGAGGGGAGCGGGTTATTTTGGGCAGGTCGGGGTCCCAGGGGCGTGCGCCTCTCAGTGCTGCTCTTATTTCTGAGCTGTTTCCAAACCAGGGCAGAGCTGTGGTTCCAGCAGAGGAATGGTGCCAGCTCCGCACTCAAGTGCAGTGGCCGCCAGCTTTTCCCCAGACTCGGGGGGCCAAAGTCACCCTCTGAGCCGAGTGGGACAGGGGGATCCTCACCTGCGTTGCACGGGGGTTTGGCACTTGCCATGCCGGTTGCCGTCTCCCTTTGCCCTGTCCATTCCCCCAGCACTGAGGGATGCTCGTGCCAGCTTTGTACCAGCTTCTGGCAGGGGCATTTAGCTGCAAAACATCTGTTTGCAGTAGAAATGGGGGAGCGATGGAAACACAGATCCCCCTCCTCCTCACTGACCTGCCATGTTCCAAAAGCTGGTGCAGAAAACACCGGCGTTGATGCTTACATGGACATCGTCCCATTAACCTGGATTTAAGTAGCAGGATGCGGGTGTCCTCTGGAGCACATCCAGTCTCTCCCCCTGGCCCCATCAATTCCTTAGATGATAACTCTTGGGCTGTTTAGACTGCTATATGTTGTCGTGGATCTCCTCTAAGTCATGTTGTGCTTCACTCTGCCGCAGGGAGAATAGTTAGGGGCAGTTTGTGACTTCACTGCTTTGGTTACGGTCTGTTTGCTTTCAAACCGGTCTCCAATCCTGGGGGAAACCCAAAGCCAGCAGCAGAAGCTGCCGGCCTGCGGTGGCTGGGCCGAGGCGAGCGCCGCTCTGATTGCAGTCACTTTTGATCCCTGAGAAAGATAAAATCGCTGCCCATCAGGGGTTCCCTTATTACGGGAGAAATTCCACTGAGTTCATTTTCATAATGCTCCAAACACAATCTATTTGTCTCAGCTTGTATTTCGTGGCAATAAAATTGCTTGGCATGTTCCCGTATTAAAATACTCCAGCCATCTGTGACTGTCCCTGGATAAGAAATTTCATTTTAGCCATCAGGATTTATATGTTATGGATTGTGCTGCTTCCCTGCTTGTCTTCCCTGCCCCCCCCGCAATACACCCACTCCTGCAAGGTTGGGGGGTGCTCTCTAGCTCCGTTGGGTGCCGATGCATCTTGCAGCATGGGTGACCCCCCCCAAAATCCACATCGTTCCCGCTGCTGCCTGATGCAGCACTTCAAACTGCAGGCAGACACCGTCCTCCCACCCGTGATCTGGACAGACCCGCTCTCAAACCACCCAGACGTCAGGACGATAATGGAGGGAAAGCAGCTCTTGTTTGCTTCCGTTTTAAAAAAAAAAAAAAAGAAAAAAAAAATCCCTAATCTGATAGCCGGACATATGGTCAACTGCCCAAAAAAAGGGAATTAGGGCAGCAGGAAAAAAAAAAAAAAGAAACGTGCCAGCGGTGAAAACAATTGGGAGCGGAGTTCCTTTATTATCGGCTGAGTTCAAATAGGTCACGGCCAAAATGTCTCAGTGCAAAATCTCCTGTTAGGAGATTAATTTCTTTTGACAAATGGAACTACAGCTATAATGCAGATTGTATTGGCCTGGTCCCCTTGCACACCACCACTGGCTGGTAACTTGTATTTTGGGAAGCAGCTGTTTGGTCCGAGTGTTTTCCAGTATCTTAAAGAAAAGGTGGAAAGCTGCTTTTGTCCTGGTGTTCCCAGCAGAAAGCAGGTCGGGGACAGCACCTTGGTTGAGGTGACTGCTCTCTGTGGCTATGAAAAGCAGGCGGTGACACAAGTCCCTGCACCCAAAGCTGGTGTGGGGTGCTGATGGGGGGCACCAGGAGCACGGGAACTGCTGGTGGCCCTGTGTCACCCCAGCACAGCAGCAGGCAGGGTCCCATGGTGTCACAGCGGGTCTGGGGGTCTGTCCGTGACACCAGGACTGCACAAGCTGCCAACCCTGCTACCCACCAGGTGATGCTGGGCAGGATGGAGGATGCAGAGAAAGACTTTCTGGAGGTTTATTTGAAGCTCTCCATGTCCCCGGCATCTGACATTGGGTTCAGGAGAGGCAAGAGCCCCAAAAGCCCCAGTGCTTTTGGGGGGAAGGTGACCCCCAGCTGGGCACAGGCTGCCGTGTTGCTCCAGAGAGGATCTTACCAGTGGATAACACATCCATCGTTACTGGAGCCGGTGCAGGGATGTGTCATGAGAAGGTGACCCTCCCCAAGAGCTGCTGGGGGATTTGGGGCTGTCAAAATTAGGTTGATGGTTGGACAAGATGATCTTTAAGGTCCCTTCCAACCTAGAAGATTCTGTGATTCTGTGATTCTGAGTGGGGTGGCCTGGGAAGGGCTGCGAGGTGCTCCTGGCCCCACTGTATGGCCACTGCATCCCACCATGTCTGCGCTCTCGGGTGGAAAAGGGCCTTCATTCCTATTTAATGATAACAATGGTCACATCTGCAAAACATCTGCAGCCAGCTGAGTGATTATGGAGCCTCCCATTACCAGAGCTAACAGGATAACAGCTGCCATGAAAATCACAGGTCCATGCTCGTTGCCGGGCTGGAGCATCTCCACTTGAGCATGGGGGTTTGGAGTCACCATGTGCCCCCCTGGGCTGGAGGCCAGCACAGGGTAAATGAGGTTTGAGAAGAATCTGTACAGGTTCATAAATTGAAGTCCTCTTATATGGGTAAAGTCGTACAAGAGTTTTCTCTCCCAAAAGTGTGTGAATTTTAGCACTGTGGCACACTGTTGGGGCAGAAGTGCTTTTCCAGACTGGTAGCTGTTTGCACAGCACAGTTCAGACATAATCCAAGTGTTGCTGAGTGTTTTTATCCACCCTGGGACGTGTTTTTCTGCACAACTGACAGACTCAAGGTCAGATGTTTGCTAGTTGTTTTGGGGCTAAACCATACATTTTTCATTTTTCCTTCCTTTGCTACTTGGAGATTGTATCTGATGTTGGCAGCTCTGGAAAGCTTCACATCCTCTTCATCAAACGCGACTGCTGTGCTTGAGGATGGCGTTATTTAAATTAAAGATGGGTTTTTTATCTTCTATCCCTAATGCAAAGCGCTGCCGTGTTACCCTGGGGGTAAATGATGCTCTGTGGCACAGGGGGGGGAGGTTTGGGGCCATGTTTCTGGTCCTGGTCCTGGTCCAGCCCGGGTGGCTCCACCTGCACGCCCAGCAGCCGCACACCCACCCCCGATGCCGTTTGCCTTTAAGGTTTCTCACCCATTACAAGCGGCATGTAATTTAAACAGAAGCACTTTAGAAGTCAACTAATTAGCACCAGGGAGGCATCCCCCCGGAGTTCGGCGCGGAGCCGTGCCCTCCTTTCTGTTACGAGATTGTTCCAGCTGGAAATTACAGAGACTGCAGTTTTTAGGGAAAGCGAGAGGCTTCGTGGCTGGGAGCCGGGGCAGAGCTGGAGCAGGGAGGGCAGAGCAGGTGCCAAAGCCCAATTGATAAAAAAAAAGGAGGCACTCGGTAGATGGTAAACGTCTGCCCAGGACTGAGAGCGTGGCGGGGAGGCGAAGGCGAAGGGAGGCAGGGACTCAGCCCAGGTAGAGTTTGCCGGCCCATCTGGCCGTGGTCCCCGCGCACGGCGGGGGTGCCAAGTGGCAGGGGGGCACCGGCTGGCGCGCGGTTTGGTTGTTGGATCCGGCCGCGTCGTGGGCGTGAGCCGAGGCTGAGACTCAGCTGCATGAGGATCTGAAGCATCTCCCTTTTGTTCCCGCCGCACCCCGACAAATGGGAAAGGACCGGAGTTTCTCTCGGCATTTTCGGTACGTCTCTCTGCGCCGTTCCTCCGCGCGGCGTGCATGCCGTTGGATGCGCCGGGAACATCCCCACGACATCTCCCCTGCCTCTCTGAGCTGGGGGCACCCTGCCTCCCGGCTCTGGTGCAGCCCTGCCACCATCCTGCACCCCTGCAGCAGTGGCGTGAGCTGTTGGGGGGAGTTGAGCAAAGCCCAGATGAAAAATTGGGGGGTAGGGAGACGGGAAGAGGCGGGAAGAGCATGTCTGGGTTTGCTTTGTCTCTGTGACTATGGTCCACCAAAGGGATGGGCGGTGAGGGTGGGAGTTTGGGGGTGCTGCGTGGTGCAGGTACTGTGATGGAGTGGGGAATGGGGACCCCTTGCTTCTAGCCCCGGCTGAGCATAAGCTCTGACCAAACTTGGGGCTGCTTTCTCCTGCTCTCGCTGGGTCTGGAGCCACCACCACTGGTCAGCTCAAGGGGACACATCCTGCCCTGGGGAATCTCAGCATCCAGCTTGGGATAGGACCATCCAGGTGAGCTCAGCACTCAGCACAGGACATGCAACCTCATGAAAGGTAGTTCTCCACAGTGCTGGGCTGGTGAGGGAGGCAGCGCCCAGGGAGGGCAGAAATAGGTCTGCCTGTCCAGAGATGGGCTGCAGGTGACCCGCCTGGGGGGTTTAAAAATTGTGAGTGTGACAAAGACCAAGATGTGCCAAACATCCTCTGCTGGAGTGAGCCCCAGAGCCGAGATGAGGGGCTGGGGATGGGAGTGCTGGTAGATGGGGTCCTGCCTGGGGGTTTCCCACCATGATGGCTGTCCTGGCCAAGCTGCTTCGGAGAGGGAGTGAAGGTGAAGCAGCTTCCATCCTCTGGGTCCTCTTCTGGCCTGAAAAATGCCCTGAATTTGCATTTTTTGTGTTAGAGCAGACTGAGCCCTCCCAAAGAGTGTTTGCTGACTCTGCTGCAGAGGAGGGTTAGTGCGCTGGGGCTGGGGTTCGGGTGCAGGGCTGCAGGGCACACGGCTGGGGACACCTTTCCCGTCCCCTCTCTAACAGGGGAAGAGCCAAACCTGGAGCATACGAGGAGGAGGAGGAAGCTGAAGGCACGAGGTCAGCTCTGCATGGCTCCTAAGCTCTCCCCTGGGCACGTGCATCCTGCTGGGACAGCAGGTCTGTCCCTGGTCCCAGGCTGACCTCTGCAAACGGGATGGGAACATCCATGCTCCCTGCCAACAGGCAAAGCCCGGCTTGTCCCAAGGGACACCAGGGCACTGCAGATGTAGCTGCAGATTCCTGCCAAGCACCAGGCACCATCCACCCCGTGCCGGTGCATGTTGCACATTGTGCCAGAGCAGAGGACAGGTCGAGGCGTTGATGCCATCTAATGACACCCCATGTGCTGCTGTTGGTGGGTCCCTCGTTAAGGACCAGCCCTGAGCGCACACAGCTCAGAGCCTGGCACCCACTGAACCGCGGGGTGTTGGGGTGCCCGGGGGATCCAGCCACGCACTGCGGCGTGGAGCATCCTGGCCTCCCCGAGGCCACATGGCAAATTCTCCCAAAGGGTTTTGCAGAAGAAAACTATTTCGCATGCTTTAATAGGATCATTTTTACCAGTCGCTTAGGTCGTCTCCTTGCTAAGACATCGTTTTACTTCTAGCACCGAGTCAATTAATGGTGAAACCCTTCAAGCCCGTCCTTGCGCCTGGTTATTGAGCTGCCCGTACTTTGTTCCTCAACCCTGATGTTTCTCAGCCCGCAGGCGAAGCAGCAGTCACTGCAAAGTGGGACAGCCCTGCTGGAACGAGCGGGGCCAATTTAATTTGGCCAACTGAAATGGGAGCGTGCTCGTTTTGCTTGCAAGGAACCCGGACTTGTCCCAGGGCAGCGGCATGGGGTCCTGCCGGGACTCACTGCTGTCACGCCGTGTCCTCCCCTGCCATGGGGCTGTGGCAGCCTGCATTCCTGCAGGAGCCTCCTTGCAGCTGGGTGAACTATTTATTAGCATGATTTCACTCTTCTCTCGTTGCTGCTTAATCACAAATTGACTGTGAATTGTACCAATGTGTTACTTATTTAAAATTATCCCCAAACGCTTTGCGTGAGCATATGTCAGCCTTGGGATGGCTTGCGATCTGTCTGCTCCTACTTAGCGTGAGCATCAGCTCTTATTTTGAGTTCTGCCTTTTATTGGGGGGAAACAGAGATGTCCCAGTCCAGGTAGGTTTGGGATTTGAAGCCTCCCTTTCCTATTCCTCTGGCTTCACCCAGGTTTTTGGGTTCCTTCGGTGAAGCTGCCTGAGGGAGAGGGGAGACCCCCAGCAGCCTCTCCACCCATGCATCGCTAGCAGTGAACCATTGGCACAGTCATATCATGCTGGCAGCAGGAAGGTGCAGCCCCTCGGGGCAAGTTGCTCTGTGTCTTCTGACACCAGCTCTGAGTTTGGCCCCGTTAGTGCCCCCCCGGGAGATGTGCTCCCCAGGGGGTTTGGGAGTGACGTTCACATCCTTCCTCCACCCCAAGTGTCAGAGTTTGTGTTAATGTAGGGAGCGCGTTCTCACGCGCCACGAGGTGAAGAGCACTAATGAACCTCACAAGACGGTATTGTCTAACGAGCAAATGCAGCTGCGACAGGCAGCCCGGTATGGGTGCAGGGAGGAGTTGCTATAGAAACACACAGAGATAACAGCTCCTCCAGAAGCCCCTAAATGTGCAAACGGGAGGGCAGCAGTAGGTGAACGGGGTGTCAGTGTCCCACTGTTGTGTTGGCGGAAAGAAAAGGAAAAGCATTTTCCTGTGTTACAGGGGTGAACCCCAGCCAGGGTAGGAGCGGTGCAGATGGACCCTGCTTGCTCCCTCCCGGGATCTCACTTTGCGCTTGTTTTGCATCCTCTGAGTGTCCTGGGGGGTCTTTATGTGGGGCACAAAGGCCACTTGGCTGCTGGCAGAGGAGCTCTCACCGGACAGGGGGTAGCTGACCTGAAATGGAGCAAGTTCCCAGTGGTGTCCCCTTGCCTGCAGTGCCACTGTGCCCATCCTCATCCCTGCAGCACCAGCATCTCCCAAGGGGTGTGATGTCGTGGCAGGAGCTGGAGAGTGGCAATAGCCAAGGCTGGAGTCCTGGAGATCAGAGTCCAGGGCTCCCAGCAGAGAGGTCGGGGCAGGAGATGGGGAGCAACATTTTGGGGGTCCCAGAATGTGCTGAGAAAGAAGTGGGTCTGGAGGAGGTGGCTTGGCACTGACAACATGGGGGGCACTTGGACATTGGAACCCCTGGCTGCGGGAACCACGCAGTGAGGAGTGGGGTCACAACAGGACAGACACCACGGGGGCAAGTGTCCTCACTGCCTGGCCAAGTCCCTGGCTGTCACAGGCAGGGGGGTGGAATTAATCTGGGACTCAAGCTGAACCTTGTCATCGGCATACTGGGACCAGCAGCTGAAGGGCTCCAGGACAGGGTGCATGAGGAGGAACTGAGCTGTTTCAGCCAGTCTGTGAGCACTGTGGAGTCTGATCTCCTTGGCATGGGATGCAGCCTGTGTCCTCAGCCCCAGCATTTGCAGCTCCAGGGATTAAGCCCAAGAGTGAACGAGGGGCTGGGGCGGCTCTGACCTTTCCTATCCCAGGTATGGCTGGATCCAGAGCTCTGAGCCACAGCCACCCTGGCTCCGCTCCTCACTCCCTTCCCTTGTCTCATTTTTCCAGGATTTTCATCCCCAAGAAGCACCGGCAGCGGTTTGATGAGGTGGTGTCGCAGAGCCTGATCAGCAAGCTGTGCCGTTCCAAGAGCGAGCAGCACAGCAACCGCCTGCGCCGCAGCCGGAGCGAGGACCACCAGGAGCGGCTCCTCGTCTCCACCCGCGCCAGCTCCGTGCCCCGCAGCCACGAGGAGACCAGCAAGAGCCTGCGGAAAACCACTTCGCTCATCACCAGCAATGTGGCCTCGGGGGCTGCCCGCAGGTAACACCTCTCCTGGACGCTCCGGAGTTGATGGTGGCAGTGTCTGATTTGGCACGGATGGCAGCATGGGGGAGGGATGCCAGAGGAAGGGGAGAGGCACTTGGAAAGGAGATGCCTTCAGTCTGCAGAGTGGGTGAAATCCTCCTGGGATGAGGATGGACTTGATGATCTTCAGGGTTTCCAGCCTAAATGAGTCTATGAACAAAGACCTTTCCCTCCTGAAGGCTGGGCACGTTTCACCCCTTGTCCCAGCTCTGGGCCACCCTCTCTGCTCCCTCGCTGTCGCAGCTACAAGCCGTGTGAGGAGCTGAGATGGCACTTGCAGGCTACGAGGGGATGTAGGCTCTTGTGTTGGGTGGGCTGCAGGGTAGCCATCCGTGCCAGCAGGATGGAGGGTACCCAGTCGTGCCAGCAGGATGGAGGGTGCCTGGGGACAGAGCAGTCTGCATCATCCTGCCCTGCCCTGACTGGTATCTGGGTGCGAGGCCGTGGGAGGAAGGATGAACAATCCCTTGTGCGCAGGGGATTAACCCATTTCCCTCTGTCCATATGGCCAGACCTCAGCAGCCCTGGAGAGCTGAGGAGCCCTGCAGTGCTGGTGGTGGCTCCAGCTCCCTTCCCAGCCCCGTCTCATGAACATGAGAGCAGGATTTGGTCTGCCAGCACGGCTGGGGAATCCTCTCTGGAGGGACTGTGCTGCCACAGGCACATCTCGATCTATTCCCTTGCCTCCAGCCGGTATCTCCAGGGTGTTCAGCTGCAGTACAGCTTCCCATCAGGATAATTTTTGGTGTGACTTATCCAAAATCCAGTTCCAGCACAGTCTCCATCCCTGCCAGAGTAGGAACAGTCCCTACAACAGGCTTTCTGGTTGTAAATGATCTCAGTGATGTTACCTCCCCCCAGCTCTCTGTGGGGAACAACTCCCAGCTTTAATCAGCCTCTCAGCAGGGAGATTTCCTAGTACTCCTTCCAAAATTTCCTAGCGGAATTTAATTTCTCTCTCATCAGCCTATGAGACCTTTGCCCCCTAAAACACATTGTCTCTTATTCTATATAATAAGCTATATCCCGTGTTCCACTTTAAAAATACATTGGATTTGAAGGACTGAACGGTGGATTTATGAATTCAGTATTTAATGCAGAGTAAGAGTCTGTGCTCAGGGGCTCTGTCCCTAAAGCATCCCTGTCCCCTTCTGCCACTGGAGCCCCCATCTGCCCTGTGCTGAAGCCTCCATGTTCATGGATGTTAAGCTTTAGTTTGCAGAAAGCTGTAACTGAGTCTAAAGGAGCCACTCCAGAGCTTCAGCATGGGTGGCTCTGGTCCCAGTGGGGACTGTGTCTGCTCCAGGCCTGGGGTGACAGTGCACTGGGGACAGCACCTGCATCCCCCCAGCCCTCCCCGAGGCTTTGTCTGGGCCATTTCTAGCACCCCTGGATCACTCCCCACCCCATCACCCCATGCTGGCTCTTTACTGTGGGCTTCCTCTGCTCCCCAGCACAGGCAGGCTGTGGGCAGGAGAAGCTGGTGGTGCTGGCAGAGCAGGTAGCTGCATAATGGCCATCCAGGGCCACCAAACCCACACACACCTTCCCTCTACCCCGTCTCCCTGGGGGCAAGGCATGTCTGGGGACTCCCATTTGAAAGAATCAAATGGTATCAAAGGGACTTTGCAGGGATACAGGGAGCGTTGAGGGCTTGGGGACTTGGAAGACACCTGGGCTAACAGGGCTTTGGAGGGGCTGGGAAAGGAAACAAGAACCAAATATTGGGCTCTGATTTCACATTTTCTTTTTTCACCCGCAGAACTGTGCGAGTTTATAAAGGCAACAGAAGCTTTGGCTTCACACTACGTGGCCATGCCCCAGTGTGGATCGAGTCTGTTCTGCCAGGTAAGAAAACCTCCAGCCACAAGATTCAAAGACCCTTGCTTTTCTCTGGTCTGAACCCAAAATTTGAAGTGCTTGCCATTTGCTAGAAGACAGCAAAAGGGACTTTCACAAGGCTCAGTGATGGGGTTTCCCCAATTGAATAACTAGCATCCCTGGTACAATTTAGTTTGCCTTCACGCACTCCCTGTTTTGAAGGGTGGAAAATACCTGTTTTCAGTGAATAGCCTGAAATCATACCCGAGTTTCCCATGCAGGCTGTGTGCTGGCATCACTGTGTCTGGTGAAACGCTCCAGCCCACACAAATAACCCAGCTGCAGTGGATACCCTGCCCTGGGGGGTGTTCCTGGGCACAGAGCAGCCAGAGAGCTGGGACCCCATCCCTGTAAGCAGGGGGTCCACCACCTGAAGTCCCTCCTGTTCCCTGTGCATTTAGGGAGCCCAGCTGAGAAGGCTGCTCTCAAAGCTGGAGACCGGATCCTGTTCCTCAATGGTCTGGACATGAGGTAAGAGGCTCTTTAAAAGGGGTCCTGGGGGGTGGTAGGTGGCCAAGCACATGTGTGTTCACTTGTTCACTCTTATGTGACAGAAATGAGAGCTGGTGGTCATTAAGACTGGTCTCCTGAGGTGCATGAGGGGTTTTGCCCCATAGAGACGTCTCCTTTACTATTCTTTTACAAAAACTGGCTCTAAGTAGTATTTAATCTCCCTGCTCCTCCTTTCTCTGTGCAAATAATCACATATAATACGTGACACACTAATTGGTGTCCTGGCTGCAACCCACCCGCAGACCATGATTCAATCCACTTTGAGTTAAATTGTAGGAGTTAAACACTTGGGGCTCTGCTTTGGAGCACCACCCAGCCCATGAATTGCTCCTAGAACGGGATCATAAGCTTAAACCACATGAGTAATCACATTTTCACCCAGAAGTTAATTCTTCTATATATTATTTGCGCACAAAGGCTATCAAACCAGAGCTGAGTGTGCACCTTGCCGGGCAGTGGCAGCAGCCTGTATTTCTTCAGCTCGGTCTTTCCACACAAAAAGCAAGAGCAAGCAGGGTTAGAAGAGGCTACACGATAAGAGAGAGTGATGAATATTTAAAGGTTAAACATCTGATGCTGCTTCTCTCAGTGCTCAGGTTCTCACATTTCAGCTGAACCAGCAAACTGTTGGCTGATGCAGCATTGCCAGAAAATAGAGGAAACTGAGATGAAAATTGTCCTCTGAGCCTGCATTTTAGCAGGCATTGTCCCAGGCCGGCCTGTACCCTTCCTCCAAGGACGCTCCAAGATTTTTTTTTCCTGCCTACAAAAATGCATTACACCTCCACCTTGCATTTTCTTTTCATGCAGAATTAGGACAGGCAGGGAGAGACCCACAGCACTGTACCATTTCAATTGAAAGTTCATCTTCTGGGTTTGAACGTAGCTTAAAGTAATGCTGGCTCCGTTCACCATAACAGCTCCCGAGGGTGCTCGCAGGGCATGCCCTGCCGTTATTCCTCACCTCAGGTACAGCCCAGAGCCCAGGGGGTGGCTCTTTTCTGAGCAGCACAGCTAAAACCAAGCAAAGATTGAGAGTCCAGGGGAACCACAGCAGGGCCAACTCCGCCTGGCTCTGAGCGGCAAGATGTGGCTTTTTGCAAGATAAAGGCAAAGATAAAGATAAAGGCTGCAAATTCCATTTCACTCCTGCTGCCCCTCCAGCCCCTGCTGGTGGCTCTGCCCGGGGGGCAGTGCTGACCCCAGCTCTCCTGTGCCCCACAGGAACTGCTCCCACGACAAGGTGGTGTCGATGCTGCAGGGCAGCGGGGCGATGCCCACCTTGGTGGTGGAAGAGGGGATCGTCAACTTCTCCAACGGTAAGAGTGCGGGGAGGAAGAGGGTCTGGAGCGGGGGAAAAAAAACCCCACACCGGCTCCCAGATACCCCACGCAGGAGGGAAATTGCCAAATACCTCCCGTAGGCTCTGCAGGTTTAGTGCTGCCCAGAGGACTGCTCCTCCCACCGCAGCACGTGGCTGCCCGATTTCTGGGATCAAGCTTAATCTCAAGCCTGGCTGCTCTCCAGAAGGGTTCATCCTACTGTATGATTGTCCTTGACAGCCCTCGCCAACGTCCTTTATGTGCAGTCTGTGCCATGTACTTGACCGCAGTAATCCAACTCTGTGCATCCATGGTTGCTGTGCAAATCCCGGGGTTGGGGATGGACTCTGCTGCTCAGGAGAACTGCTGCCGTTGTGAATAATTTAGCTTGCTGCTGGGGAGCGAGTCGGCGGGAGATGAGGGTGTCTGGGGTGATGCAGGGTGGGTGTCAGCACAATTTCAGCTGAGGGACAGGACCGCAGCCCCTGCTGCATTTCCAAATATGTGCAAAGGCAGGAGAGTCGGTGCATTATTGGGGTGCTGCTCCACAATGCGTAGTCCCAGGAATTTGGGACTGGCTGCTCCCTCCAGAGCAGCAACGGACTCTCCTGAGCTTCACATTAGGAGCCCTGTGAAACCAACTCATTTGCATGTGCGCTAGAAAAAAAAAAGCCAAGCACCTCACTACTTCACAGCACAGAGCCAGTGGCAGCCCGACTGCTTCACCACCCTCCAAAAGAAACCAAGAAAAGGCAGAATTCTTTTTTTTCCCACTACCTTGGCTATATTCCTATGTGGAATTCCTATGTGCATCCTGCAGCCTCGCTCAGCGATGTGCATCCTTCTCCCAGCTGTGCTTATTGCCCTGCGCTCACTGCAGAGGCAGTGCAGGGACCAGCCCAGATAAGCGTGGCAAAGCAAATGACTTTCCATGCCTCAGGTCACTCAGGTCACCCTTGACTGATGCTGCTTGAAGGCTAGGATTATCATGAAGTGCTTTGAAACTTGAGCAGAGGATTTAGAGAGCCAGAGAAGGAATACCACCCGCTTGTGTTCACAGAAAATGTGGAAGTTGAACATGGTTGAAGAGAGAGATCCCAGAGACCATCCCAGTCAAAACACCCCCCCTCAGAACCAGCAGGTCCATGGACCTACTGGAACAGCCACAAGCTCCAGTGCAGCTGGTCCAGAGCATGGGAGGAAGGCAGGGCAGTCACAGCTCCAGATGAGCCATTTCACCTTGTCACCATCCTGCCTTCCAGTGACTGACACCTGTTTTTACTGGGGTAACAGTGTCTGTATCAGCACATCAGGATTTGTGTTTCTATGGAGCACCCATTGTCCGTGGCTGTCCCCAGGACCAACCTCTGGTTTTGGAACAAGCCTTTTAACCCATGGTTAAGACCCTTTGTCTGTTGAATTTTCTTTTTTTCTTTCTACCTGCGCCTTGCAGACTCTGACTCTGCTGACTCCCCGAGCACCTCCTCTGCCCTCACCTCCCTGCAGTGGGTCGCAGAGATACTCCCCTCTAGCATCAAGATTCAAGGAAGGACCTTCAACCAGCAGCTGGAGCACCTGCTGACTCCACCTGAGCGCTATACCATCTGCAAAGCGCTGGAAGGCTTCTTCCAACATCGGTAACTTGTTCACAGCTCCCTTCCTCTCATGCTGGGACCCAGCCTGGTATCAATGCCCATGTCAGAGTCGGTCCCCAAGCAGAAGGCAGACCTTGGCTTTGAGGCTGTCAGCACTGAGCTCTGCTGCAATCATGTTCTCCAGTTTCCCCAGCTGTGCATTTCCCTGTGTGTGTCTGCAGGGCACAAACCCATCTCACCAGGTGCCCTGCCTGAGGACACGGCAGACCCTTTAGCTGTTGAAGTTAATTCAGTCACCCCTTAATCCCTCATAAAGTCACCTTGGTCCTCCACACCGTGGGTTCTCTTGCTTTCTGGCCACCCCTGACAGCTGCAGATCCTGTTCCATCTCTTTCAGTAAACCTCACTGTGTTTCATCCTTATCTTCTCACTGCTTGGCCGCAGCACTCCCTTGGCAGCAGCACGGGGAGGGTTGTGGCTGGCAGAGCTCTCATCCTGCCGTGGAGCACATCCCTCCCCACCCTGCTGCAAGGGTCAAAACCGATCCCCTGGCAGACTCCAGACTTTCAATAGGGACTTTGTTTTCTGCCCTTCATCTTTAATCTTTCCACACCATGGTGAAGCCATCCCGTGGGAGATGCTTGCTGCCCCTTCCCGTAGGTGCTGAGCCAACCAAGCCAGGTTGCCCGGCTGCTTCTGGGGAGCCCAGGTCCCACAGGGGCTGTGGATGCACCAGGCAGGATCCAGCTGCAATGGTGCTAACAGCCTGCTGGTGTAAAGGCTGGAGGATCAGAGGTTCCATATCCTCAGTTTGAGAAGGAAATGCAGGAAAGCCCTCAGTATTTAAGTTACTGATGGTAAGAGAGAAGAGAAACTACCGAATACAAAGCCGTGGTGCTGCCTCTGTGCACCACAGCTCGGGCTGAAGCATCCCCTTGCCTGCAGGGAGACTGGGTTGTCTCTACCTGCAGCTGCTGGGGGGAGGTCCAGATACATAAACTCCCCCCCAGCACCAGCTGAGTGAACCCTCTTGAGGCCCCATGATCACTAACACTGCCCCTGTAAAGCAGAACTCTTTGCTTTGTGCTCTCCTGAGACTCTGCTGCTTCTACAGGATTCCCCAGTTGGGCATTTCAGCCCGAGGAGCGGTGGCTGTGGGAGCAGATCCAGTCCTCAACTGGGAAATGCAGAGTCTGTCCCAGTGGGCGATTTGCTCTTACTCAGTGTCACACAGATGGGAACCCAGGCACCATGAGTCAAGTCCCCAGGTTCCCTTCCCAGTGCAGGGCTGCCCATGTCTTCCAGCAGTGTATGACCGGGGGAGGCTCAGGGAGGGCACCACCATGCCCATCTTCTCCTCCAACCAGCTCATTTTGCCTGTAGCCGCCCCAGATGGCTTGATGCAGAGGCCGCTGCTCCATTTAACGATAACTCATCATGACCTAATTGCGTGCCTGTCCCAGACAAGCAATTGCAACCTCTAACTGCTCCAACAAGGAGGGAAATCCCCAAACGCTGAGTTTTTGTTGCTTGCCACCATGGCACGCAGATACCAGCGTTTCCCAGCAGCAAACACATGCCTGTCCCAGACAAGGAATTGCAACTTCTAACTGCTCCAAGAAGGAGGGAAATCCCCAAACACTGAGTTTTTGTTGCCACCATGGCATGCAGATACCAGCGTTTCCCAGCAGCAAACACAGGAGATGAAGTCAGGACACCCCGTTCTGGGCTTTGGCCCTCCAGCCAGTTTGCAGATGACTGCCAGTTGGCCCCAGCCACTGGCCAGGAGGAGCAGTACCTGCACGGGGCAGAGCAGCCACCTGCCTCAGCAGCTCCTCCACAATACCTGAACTTTTCCAAATGGGAAACAGGCTTCTGACAGCCAAGAGCTGTGTCCAGCTCCCCCGAAAAGGCAAGTTAGCCCAAAACTAGGGAGAAACTTAGCAGGTGACTTTTAGCAGGTGACTTCCAGCAGGCTCTAGGTGGTTCCAGCCACTTCTCATCCCTGCCGGCCTCTGAGGAACCCCCAAAACACTTCATTAATGAAGTCCTTGCCGTATCTGAGCCTCTTCACCCTTCAGATCTCCCCTGCATGCCTGGTCCCTGCTCCTTGGGAGGCAGTCATGGTCCATTCAGTTAACATCAAGGCAACAGATTTGTTCCTACATGTGCAAGCTCCTTCCAGCTCTTCATAAAAAGTTCTTACCATTACTTCTCCATTGAGGATATAATAGTTGCAGTGAGCTTTAACCCATCATATCTGCCTCAGTTTCTCAGTAGAAAAGCAGCCTGACTCTAGCTCCCTGATGCAGGACAGCCCCCCTCCCCCAGGCTGCTTACAACAGATTTGTTCCTACATATGCAAGCTCCTTCCAGCTCTTCATAAGAAGTTCTTACCATTATTTCTTCACTGAGGATGCAATAGTTGCAGTGAGCTTTAACCCATCATCTCTGCCTCAGTTTCTCAGTAGAAAAGCAGCCTGACTCTAGCTCCCTGATGCAGGACAGCCCCCCTCCCCCAGGCTGCTTCATTCTTCTCATTGAATCGGGTGCTCAGCCCTGCTACTCTCAACAGCCCTTTCACCATCTCTACACACCACAGAGCCAAAATGAGACTGAGCCTCCAGCCCAGTGAGGCTGCCACCCCAGCTACCCTTTCCAGTGCATTCCTCCCCAAGCCTGCTTACCAGCTGTTGGCTAAAATGGAGGTCTTTCCAGAGCTTCTCTCTGCTCTCCAGTGCTCCACCACCCCCTCCTACTCCTAGGTTTTATACCTGGCTGCCAGGTGCTGCCGGTCCCCGGCAATTTGCTCTCCCCATTAGCACCAGCTGCCCAACTCCTCTTCCCCAAGGGCTCAGTCCCTTGCTCGCAGCCTGGCACCTCTGCTCTGAAATGATCTCTTTGTGCCAAAGCCTCGGAGCCCAGGCTGGCACCTGAGAGCCGGCCGGAGGCGGGCTGGGAGCGCCGGAGCCCAGGGAAGCGGCGTGGTGGGGATGCGCTCACTGCCCAGCCCTCTCTTTCCCATTTTGCAGGAACATTGACACTCTCATTGTGGATGTGTACCCGGTGCTGGACACACCGGCCAAGCAAGTCATTTGGCAGTTTGTCTACCAGCTGCTGACGTATGAAGAGCAGGAGCACTGCCAGCAAAAGATTGCCAGGTTTCTTGGTTACAAGTCCTTGGCAGGTGAGAGGAAAGCCCCTGCACTACAGCACAGACCCGCCGTGTCCCACCGGGGACCTCGGTCCATTGCACTGGGAGAAGGCTGGGGTGGCAACGGAGCAGCCAGATCTTCCCGGGGTCAGTGGCTGTGGCTCTGCCCTGCCTGGCTCCTGCCCACACGCTGCCTGCATGGAGGCAGGGGGTTTCCAGCTCCTGTTATGGATGAGGTTGATCTGCCAGGCACCTTTTCTGCCCATGGAGCTGTGTAGTTTGGGAAGGAAACTGCACTGAGAGGAGAGATGACACCTGGCTCTGTAGCAGAGGTTGGCTCTTGGAGCAGAGGCTTTTGGAAGCTCCTGGGGTTGTTAGAGGTTAGGAAGTTCCAAAAGGAAATAGCTGGTTTAAGGGCAGTGTTCACATCAGAGAGGTAAAATAAACGGTGATGGTGGTGGTGTCCCTCAGGATGTCTCAGCAGTCAGACGTGTGCAGGTATCCGTGGTTAAAGGAGGTGGGAGCTGGCTCCTCTGGCAGTGAAGTGCCTGCCCAGGAGCTGGTCTCCCAAAGAGAATTGGAAGGCAGTCGGTGATTTTCCTCCTCCCTGGTCCCACTGTCCCCTCGCCATCACCTGGGGCTGTGGCAACTCAAAAGCCAGCTGTGGTTTGCTGAAGATTAAGGGCTTTGCAGTCAGACAGCAGAAAAGTGAGGGCAAATTTGGAGTGAAATGTCTTAATGGTTGGATTTGGGCTTCATAATTGCTTTCAAATTCTTCTAAGCTATTTGAATTGTGTTACTGTTTTAAACTTAACGTAGGTAAAAAGAGGTGTTGCTTGAAGAGAGACTTTTGGAGGGATGCAGTTATTTTAGCAGAGCCTTTCCCCTCACGGGGAGAAACGGCTGGAAGTCCTGGTGCAAACACTCCCTGCTGTGCACGGAAACCTGTTGGGTATTTGCTCACCTAATTTGCACTCTCAATTACCACTGCTTTTGTGTGTGCAGAATCATGGCCCAGCCTACCTAATGTGTTGTATATACACAAGAACTTAAACCATAAAATTAGTTTATGAACTTTGGAGGATCTCTCAGGGAAGCTGATACATCTGCAGTTTGCAGCTGTACTTCAGGAACACAAGGCAAGTGTCCAGAGCCAGTGGCAGAGGGGGAAAGCACTGGAGTAAATCTCCCAGGACCAAGCTGCTTCAGGCTGTTGTTCCACAGGCTGGTCCCTGGCTCCTTTTGGCTTCTCTGATGAAAGGGGCAACCTCTGACCATGTAAAGTTCTGCTTGTTCTGGTGCATTGCGTTGTGTGTCCATGCATGGAAGTGTGATGGCCAGAGATCAGAGAATTTGGGTTAGTCCTTCATCTGGGCTTCTTCCAAACTTGATGGTGATCTCTGATGTTAGTGTGTGTCCGAGCGTTGGTCTGTCAGATACCATGGAGACTGATGCTTCTGTATCTTCATCCTGCTGTAAGTCTGAGACTCTCTGAGCTGTCACACTGAACTGCACATGGACCAATCCATGAGACAACGTGGTTCTTCCAGGAAGCATTTCAGTGCTGACTCCCACTCCCATCTTGTCCCTCGAGGGCAGGAAGGAGTTAGCTGGGTCCTGCTGGACCAGCCTGGCTCAGGGCTGGAGTTTCATGCACACCATAAGCTGATGGATGCCAAACCCGCTGGAAAAAGCAATTGCATGTCCCATCTTTGGGCATCTACCCCCTGCCCTGTGCTGGCAGGAGCGTTTGTAACCTGCTCTGCTCCCTGGGGCCGGTGTGAGGATGGGGTGACCTGGGGGGGGACGGGCAGCAACAGCACCAACAAGTCTGTGCATGGGATGACGGTCAAGTGCAGGGCTCAGAGAGCTGCTGCGGGTCCGATGGGCTGGGGGGAGCCCCACATCATGGCGAGGAGGAGTTGGGGAGCTGTGGGGTCTGACACGCTCCGGCTGTGCCTTACGGAGGGTGTTTTGTGCTGCAGCTGAGCCAGAAGCAGAGGATCGCTACCGCAGCTCCGTGCGAGGGGCCTCCTTGTGCCGGGGAAGCCTTCGAACCCCCCGTCCCGAGGAGGGGGGGGCAGCAGGTGGGTGACTGGGGGCTGTGTGGAGGAGGGAGCTGCATCCTCATGGCTGCAGCTGTACGGTACCTCTGCTCTGCCCGAGCTAAAATCCTGAGTAAGTGTGGTGGGAAAAGATGCCGGTCGGCACAGAGCCAGCACAGAGGATTTGACTGGAAATCCGTGTTTTCATAAACAGTTGAAATCACCAATTCCAATAAGAGGCCACTTGGGCTGAGGCTGAGTGTTGTTTCCAAACCCTTCCATGGCTCAGATGTGAACTGAAGCTGCTGGTCTGAGCCCTCCATTCTGGGGTGCACAGTTTCTAGCTCTGCTGTGAACTTTCTTGGACACTGTCAAATTCACAGGAAAAGCTTCCTACGAAGATGGTGATCATGGTTCAGTGCCACTTTGAGGCTCTTGATGAACTACACAGATGGCACAAACACCTCTCTTTTCAGAGAGAAGCTACATATTTCCCCATTCCTCTGAAAATCCCATCCTGGTACTGCTGCAGGGCCCTCCACAGCCCCCAGATCTCTAGCGTTCTCCTGAGAAGCACCCCAGATTGCTGGTTGTGCCCTTCTCTCCCAGACAGCAGGACAAGGCATCCTGCCTACCCCTCCATCGCCCTTAGCTTATTGTGAAGGGCACTCGACCTGTGCTTACAACTCCTGACCATGACCTCCCCACCAGGACCAGCCATGCTCCTCCAGCACTCCATCTGCACACCTTCCTCCCGGCACCCCTCACCGTTAACAGTGCTCCTCAGCTTTTGGGGAGGGATGCTGCCAGAGCAGTCAACTCCGAGACATTTCCCTACGGAAGATGCTCTAACCTGCCTCCGAGGAGCATTCCTGGTTGTGATTGCAGCACGGAGAGTGGTCGACAGCTGCATAGGCTGGAGGGAAGCCTCTTGCCCAACCAGATGCTCAGCAGCTGCGGGGGAGCAGCCTTGTCCTCAGCTGCCCTTCAGGAAGAGCGGAGCAGCCCGTGACCTGCTGTGCCAACCTTACCCAAGGCCGAGCAGGCTCTGGGGAGCATCCTGCCCCAGGTGCTCCTAGTTCACCCCTCTGCACAAACCATTGATTTATAAAAAAGCAGACAACATTCCTCAGTTCTGAAGAGGGAGGTGATGCACGGGGGCAGGCACCTCCACTTCCCAATGAAAGCCCCGCTCCAGAGCCCTTTCTCATTACAGCCAGATGATGTCCATCCTGGGCTCTTCTTTCTTGGTTGCCATTAAAGGCTGGGCTCTGAGCACACAGGCCCAGTTTGGTACTGGTATGAGCAGAGCTGCTCACTGGGCTCTCCGAAGCTCTGCCTGCCTGTCCCAGTTCTCAGCTTGGCCCTGACCACTGGGTAGTAATATTGTGGCTGAAAAGGAACGTGAATCTGTTCAACCTTCCCTGGAAGAAGCTTGGGAAGGGATTGCAGACTGTTTTCTCCCTTCACACACCCTTGGAGATAAATGGAGTGTCTGGACGCATCTCAGAGCTCAGCCAGCCTCCAGCCGTTAACCTTGAGCAGAAGCTCACCATGGATGTAACTGGAAAAACAGGGTTTCATTTGGAGCTGGTTGAATCACCATCACTCCAAGTGAGCTCCCTTGTGCCTTCGCAAGGGTCCAGAGCTCCCTCCCTCCTCGTGTCCCCTGTGGAGCCCCATCTCAGGGGACACTGCTGGGGAGCAGGCAGCCAGCGCTGCCCAGGCGTCTGCAACCAAAAGGACCAGATTTTGGAAACTGCAACCTCGGCTGCCACGTGTAGTGACCGTGACTGTCCTGATGTCCAGCACCTGCCAGGGAGGCTGAAGGAAAAGAAACCAAGAAAAAAAGAGACACCTGTGGCACTGCAGTGTCTTGATATCTGGAGAGTTCTCAATGTAGTGCAAAATCCCACATGTGCCCTGGATAATGTCTCTTCCCCTGAAATACTGTGATGGAAACTGCTCGCTTGGCACTGTCTCCCCCACACACTTGTGCCAGGAGGATGGCTCTGGGTCCCAGCAGGAGATGGGGGGAACATTGATGGGTCAGGACAGTCGGGAGCCCTGGGGGAGCAGAGGCAGAAAGAGGGGGGTCCTGACTGCTTTGTCTCTTCCTTCCCCGGCAGGCCAGAGCGATACCGTGGAGGTCCCAGTTCGCCTGATCCCTGGAGAGAGACAGGCTGGTGATGGCACATCCCTCCCGGAGACACCCAACCCCAAAATGGTGCGACTTCATGGGGCTGGGGGGAAATACCTCTGGGAAGCGCTTTGCTGACGTGTTCAGGACTGTTGTGTTTACAAGGAGGGTCGACAGTTTGACTCCTTTCATGTTAACGCAGGAGAGCAGAAAAAAAGGGAACAGGGGAAGGATGTGTCTGCGTGTAAATACCTGCTGGGGGCTGAGAGCATCCCTGCCTCAGCGATGGTCTCTGAGATCACTTCCCTGGGCAATTAGTCAGCTTTAATAAGGCTGGTGTCTGTCAGCATCTTCTTGCAGCCTTGTGAGCTTCAGAAAAGGCAGAGAAGCCTTGGGTTGGAGTGAAGCACTCCTTTACAGAGCAAGAGACTTGGGGCTGGCAGGTCCGCGGTGGTTTGTCCTGTCCCCAGGACATCGCAGCTCTCTTGAATTCTCCATGAGTCCTGTCTCGATTTGGGCAGTGACAGCAGCACTTTGTCCTTTTTTTTCCCCCAGATGTCAGCTGTCTATGCAGAATTAGAAAACCGCCTGATCGGCAGCTTTGCTAGCAAGATGGGTAACGCTGCCCTGCACCGAGCATCGCCTCCTGCCCCAGAGCGGGCACACACTGCTGCAGGTAGTGACCTGATTCCCATGGTGGGAGAGAGGCAGTTTTGGGGGGTTCTCAGGCAATTGTGGACAGTGGTGGCCAGGCAGGTGGAGGAGAAGGCATCTTTCTCTTGGTACATTTAATAACGAAGCAGTGACAACGAGCCCAGTGATGGCTCCTGCAAAGCTGCATCTGCAGGAGGGTTATGGGGTGCACGGGGTGGCAAATCCCATGGGATACCGGCTCAGCACGGTGCTGGGGCTCGTCACAGCCCATGGGTGGGGGGCTCCAGGGAGTCCCTGGTGCAGGACCCCCTCGGCAAACGCTGTGTCCTGCAGGTGCTCGCAAGTCGGGAATGACGATCTCGTGGCCGAGCGACCCTCTGGCCTCCCAGCAGTGCTACTACCGCCTGCACAGCAGCGTGGCCTCCCCGACCAGCACCGAGTCCAACCCCTACGTCAGCCTCGACAGCAGCCCAGCCCCGTCCCCCAAGCACCGGGACTACCGGCTCAGCCCTCTGTCGCGACGGAAGAAGCTCTTCACCTTCTCCAGGCCCCCGCGCAGCCGTGACACTGACCGATTCCTGGATGCCCTCAGTGAGCAGCTGGGACACCGGGTCACCATCGTGGATGACTTCCTCACCCCTGAGAATGACTACGAGGAGGTGAGCGTGGTGCCAGGGTGGCTCGGTGCACGGTCTTTGTCTGTCCTGGAGTATCCATGGTGCAGCCTGCACTGAACTGGGAAGGGTGCAGAGTTTCTGGGGACACGTCTTGGGGTTCTGCAGGTGGTGGAGGGGGGCAAGGGCTGCTCTGCTCTGAGGCAGGCCCCCCCGGATGGGCTGGGTGGGTGGAGGATGTGGTGCCACCTTCAGCGTCTCCTCTCTCCCTCACCCAGATGAGCTTCCATGATGACCAGGGCAGCTATGTCACCAACGACGTCAGCAGCAGCGAGTACATCAGCAGCAGTGACGAGGGCAGCTCCCTGACCTACTCCACCCTCTCGGACCACATCCCCCCCCCACCGCTCAGCCCCCCACCGCCACCACCCCCTCTGCAGTTCCAT